CCCCAAACCCACCTCCCACCTTTACCCCCACTCATAAAATTTTTTCGTTAATTTTAATTAGAAATAAATAAATAAATTTAAAAAAAAAAAATTCTTGTCCCCTTTTGCTACTCTCACGATTATTTATTTCCACGTTTTTAACACACATCTACTTCTGCTGCCACTGTTAAATAATTTTTTTTTTTTTAATAAAGTCACGATTGTCGAAAAAAAAAAAACAAAATTTCGAATGTTTGCAACGGTCACGTTCATTCAAAAAAAAAAAAAAAAATTGAAAGGCTACCAATACGTTTTTTTTATTATTATTAAATTAACGGAAAAGGTCAAAAACCTTTTTTTTTCTCCATCGAAAGGTTTCGATTAGTATTATCATTATTATTCTTTAAAAATTCGTATCGTAGGTTGGTGTGTGCGTGTGCGTAAGTGCACGTGGAACGCGTTAGTTTTTTTTCTCCCCTTTTGTTTTTTCTTTTTTAACTTACTTACTATTATTCGTTATTTTACTTTTTTTTTTTCTTTACAAACTAACAAATTTTATAGCTGAAAATTAAAAACAAAGAAAGTGGAAGAAGAAAAAGAAAAAGAAGAAGGAAGAAGGAAAAGAAGGAAAAGAAGGGAAAATAAACAAACAAATAAACTTTATATGGATTTTTAAATACGTGACATTTCTAGACTTGTTAACGCCCGATTTGACATTCAATGCTTCATGAAAATATTTTCTTTCTTTCTTTTAAAGCTCAATTAATTGTGCCTGAACTTTTTTTTTTTTTTTGTACCTGACCGTTTGTGGGAACAAACTTTTTTTTTTTTATTTATTTTACGCGGCATTGATTCAATCGACGTTGTTGGGGGGATTTCGATAACATTTTTCCAGGATTAAATAAATTCTCTTTTGTAGTTTATACACACACACACACACACACACGCCATCATCATTATTATTATTATTATCATTATTATTATCGTTTTAATTAATGAAAGGAACAAAATTTTTATTAATCGTTTGGTTTTTTTCTTATTTTCGTTTGCGCGACAAAAGTTAAAATAAGTGTAAACGTCGTCGTTTGGGTATTAAATGAGTCGAAAAAAAACAAAAAAAAGAAATTTTTGTCGCCAAAGTTAATTAAAACATTTATCAAGAGGAGAGAGAGAGAGAGAGAGAGAGAGGGAAAGGGAAGGGAGAGGGAGAGGAGGATGATTGGGGTGTCCCAACATCTTCATCATCCCCCCCTAATTAATATCTTTTCTTTTTTTTTTTATTTTAAATTTTTTTTTCTTTTTTTTTTTTTAAAAAAAAAAAAAAAAAAAAAAAAAAACGTGGCAGAAGATTCTCGACCGATTAAATATATACATAAATAAATTTTTTTTTTTTGTGGATTTTTTTTTGGGGGGTACGTGACGCGATGCTCCTGCATTCGCAAAAAATTTTTTTCTATTTCTCCCGTCTCCCTGTTTTCCTCTTCCTCTCCTCTCTCTCTCTCTCTCTCTCTCTCTCTCTATCCTTTTCTAATTATTATTTTTAACAAAAAAAAAAAATTTTATTAATAAAAATGTCGTCATCTTTTTATAAAAAAAAAAAGAGAAAAATTCGGGCGTTAAAAAAAAAAAAGAAAAATTTCCGAATGGAATTTAATGTAAAAATTAAATGAGACGAAACGCGTGGATTTGGGGATCATTTCCTTCGACCCCCATTCTAGTGCCACGCTTCGTTTAAACCAATTTAAAAAGATTTAATCAAATTTATTTTTTTTAGCTTTTTTTTAATTTATTATTATTATTATTATTAAAATTTAAATGAATAAGAATTTTAAAAAAAAAATCAAAATGTATGAAGAAGAATATCCCATCTTTTTCAAAAATACATCGACTGATTCAAATTTTATTTTATTATATAATAATAATAATGATGATGATGATGATGATAATGATAATAATAATTTACTAGGTCATGAACTAAACTTGTTAATAAAAAAAAAATAGAAAAAATCATGAACTTTTATTACGTAATTAATAAAATAAAATAGAAAATTTACCAAATATTAAGGTCGATATAATATTTGAAAGAAGAAAAAATAATATCTCGCTATAAAATCTCCCTTTTTTCTAACGCCATTTTAAATTATTATTATTATTATTATTACTTAAAATTTAATTATTTAATACCGTATTTATTACGTCATAAATTTTTTTCTTTAAATAATAATAATAATAATAATTTTATTCCCCGAAGGGTAATTTTTATTTATTTTATTTATTTTTTTATTCCACGTAAAATAATAATGATAATAATAAGAAATCACGTGTTAATAAATTTTTTTTTTTATTAACTTATGTAATAGTAATTCCGATTTATGTATATAAACATAGACATAATAGAAAGTTAATAATTTTTTATTAATCAAACAAATAAATAAATAAAAAAATCTGGTAGTTGTTGTTGTTGTTTCGGATGGTAAATTTACCAGTTTCCCGTAATAAATTAAAAAAAAAAAAAAAACCGTTGGCATCACTGCATTAAGACCCCCGTTTTTTTATGTACATATATGTATGCGTATATAATTATTTTAAAAAAAAAAAAAGTGAGTTTTTAATAATTTATTAATAGTTTTTTTTTTTTCGTCGTAAATTATTATTATTTATAAAAAAAATTT